GGCCAAACGCTTCAATCACACCAAAGCTTCATATGCTGGAGTACCATGCATTACCTTTCATTAGAAAATGGGGAGTAGGACTAGGTACTTATGGAGAGCAAGGTGGAGAAAGTATTCATGGTGAAATCAACCGTATGAAGAGTACCTACTGCCATATGAAAGGAGTAGGTAGATTAAGAAGCATAATGAATGAGCATTTCATAAAAAACAACCCAACTGTAAAAAAATACCAAAAAAAAGCTCAACCAAGAAAAAGAAAAATTGTAGATACTAAAAATAATCCGATAAAATACTGCAAAATGATTTAAAGATAATAAATGGCAGTAATAAAGCCTCCATAATATTTCTGTCAGCATTTTTAACCTTTCAAAAAAAACAAAAACTTACCAATCTTTAAAAGCATTATATTACCACAAAAAAAAGTAACCGGTTTTTGGTTTTTGCTTTAAATGATTCACAAACTATTATATTTTCAAAAAAAATCGAGGTTATCACTAAAAAATTTAAAACTTTAGAATATAGACTATAATGTAAGCACAGGTTAAACTTCGCCTAAAAAATAGCTAAGTTTTAATTTAATCCCACTTCTATTCTAAAATTATTTAAATGATAGCTTTGATGACACATACAATACCTAAAGTATTGTTTTAATATCATTTCTTATAGGCAATTTAGAAATATCTACAAATAAATTTAATTTAAAGTTTATACAACTCTATTAGTAGTTTTCTGTTTACTTGCAAACATTATTGTTTACCAACATTTGAATAAAATATAGCGCATGCGCATAATAAATGTCTATTACTAAACCACCGTGGGCACCGGACCAAAATAAGACGCCTTTTGAATGTTCAAAAGACGTTTAAAAACGTTTAAAACGTGTATAAAGCGTTTAAAATACGTCTTTTTTAAGTCCGTGTCCACTGGGTGATAGCACCCAGTGGGCACGGACTTAAAAACACTACACTGAATATTTTAGTCTAAAAACAAAATGAACAATTGGAAAAAACAGCATAAAATGTAAAAATACGGAATGCGACTCACATATATTAAAAATTACATCTTCACTATGGTTGTGATGATGCTATTATTTAACTTGTATTATGAAATAATACGATTAACTAATTGGGTGAAGTAACCCGACAGGCATTTGTTTTTAAAAGTTACGTTCTAAATGTATTTTTAATGTCTTTTAAACGTTTTTTGCGTAAAAATGTTTAGAAGACGTTTAAAAGACATTTAAAATACATTTAGAATGTAACTTTTAAAAACAAATGCCCGTCGGGAGGATAATCCAACTTTATTATTTCGGCACACAACTTATTTTGGCACATGCGTTTCTATTATATAAAATTCTTACTAATACAACTTTATATCGTCCCATAAATATATATTCTACTTTCGCAAACATTTCTTGGCGACTGGTCAATTAACATAAGTTAATTGTTTGTTTAATTTGTCCGCATGACTTCATTCTTAAGACTATAAATTCCCAGTAACCTTACAAAATTATCAAATACTTGTTAGAAATAACATTTTCAATTAAGCTGCTCGAAACACTTTAGTGTGAAACACTTTTTCTTTCGGTAAGGCAACTTGTCGTTACTTTTTATCAAAAAAAAATTAAAAAAATATGTTTTTGATAGTTATTATCAAATACACTCGATTTTTTGAATATTATTAAAATTAAAAAATTTTACTTAATTGTTAAAACTTTTAAAACTTTTTATGCGAAAATACGTTATTTTTATTAAAACACAAAATTCTTGTGACGTCAAGCTTGCTTTTTTATTGAGAATATATACTATATATATACATATATATATATATATATATATATATATATATATATATATATATATATATATATATATATAT